GGGATTGCCGACTTCCGACAAACTCATACAAGGCGCCTATTGCTAGGGGATGGTCTGTGCTCACCTCAGGATGCTCCCAAACTTTTTCTCGCTTCTTTCTCTACTGGGGAGTTACTTATGGGCTACTGGTTCATGGTTGAGAAACCTACTACTCGTAACACTTGATCGCGGGGACTGTCTTTAAGATGTGAAGTTCAATCAGTAGGCACCAGTGAGGAATATTTTTTCGCTTAGATTCTATTCGTTTCCAGAACTCCAACCACTTTCTTGGTGCAGAGACACCAAATTTACTTCGGATGAAGTGCCACTCTGATTTCTACGAGAAGCTGAAATCGACACTTGTCAAAACCGAAACAACTGGTGGACAAACGATGCCTGCGAACAGTTCTTTGGTTGAGATCCCGCAAAGCGAATGTGTCGAAGAAGTCACAGTTTTTGAAAGCTTTTGTAACGTTAGCTGTGTCGCAGCCTATGCGAACATTTCTATTCCTACAGTTAGCAACTTTTCTGTGTTCTCTGGACCTAGCCCTGCATCTAGGGCTAAAATGTCAACGACAGTGCGGCCGAAGACTCAAGTCTCTCGACGTTCTCCTTCAAGAGTTCACTGGGATTCAGATATCACAACCATCAGCGATACGGAACATTACACTTCTGTGTTGACTTCCTCCTCAAAAGACAAGCGTATGAAGCGTAAAAGGATGGACGCTTCAGAGTCAAGCCCAGATGAAGTGTCGATTATGAAAGTGACTTCCCGAAAATCTGCGAAACTGGAGTCAGGTGCCCAGTCTCCCACTTATGTGAATCTTTCCTCAAGTGAGAGCGTATCGGATGACACTGAGGTAACACCAACAGTGAAGCGCCATTCCATTTCCCCCACCCTGACTGGCCGAAAGTATCGTTTTCCATTACATTCGGAGCTATCCGCAAGAGACAGGAGTTTGAGAGCTGGCCATTCAAGGTCTAAAAAAGTTGTCACTATCGAGATTTCTTCAGACGAAGATATGGTGGATGAAGAAGAACCGTATACAATACCAGAAACGCAACTTGCAAGTGAGTCTAGGAAGCTGATAAAGACGATGGAATCTTCTATTTCGAAGCCACGTAGCCGTACAGCTCATCCGGTTAAGCCTGCTGCAGTATCCTTGCTTGATAAGGGCGCGATTCAAAAGGCTCAGGCTATAATCGAAGCCTGGAGATCGTCCTCCTATGAAGTTGTGCCCGACGAAATTGACTTTTCCGCTATTGAAAGTACGGTACATTCAAAAACCGCTGCTTCGAAATCGAGGCGATCACTGTTCAGTAGTACGGACTCTATTCCCACATCAGCGGATCTTTCGGAAAGGCCTGAAAGTTCACAATCGAAAACGCCACGAGCAAGGACACAACGCCACACGCGTACGCTGCCCTCAAAGGAAACTAACATGACTGATTCTGTACAAGAAACAGCTGAGAGGTCGTCATACCCACTTCAAAAAGGTGACATCTTTTTAACACCGAAGAATCCACGACATAAGAATTCCGGAGAGGGTGGTACACCTTCATCACAAAGTACTGCACCTTTTAAGAGCGCGGAAAGTTCTCAGAAGACATACCACACTGAAACGTCTGCGCGGTTGTCTTCCTCAGAGTCGCACGATGATTCACAAATACATCGTCCACGAGCAGGAAGGCCAAGGAAGATGACAGAGCCTCTAGCTGCGAAGGAAATCGATTCTACTCATCCATCGAAATCTGGCGGAAATATTCCACATTCGAAAAGGGATACCATCCGCTCTTCAGAACCCCGTGATCCATCGGCAGACCGAGAGCTTGAGAAGGCTCCCGAGGCTCCGACTCCTCAGCGGGGATTGCCTTCAACAAATTTACTGCCTTCCTCAGAAACACAACGTGTTGCAGAATCACTCCGAGGACGAGGAAAAGACAGGAAGAAGTTGGCGGAATCTGTAGGAGTTAAGGGACTGGACTCTGCTCGTGGGGGCAGATCTGCTTCACCAGCTTCGTCACCAGAACAAGGAGGTCAAAGGTCTCCCGAAGCTCGAACCAACCTAAGCGGAATGCATTCTACAAGCAGGTTGTCTTCATCGGAAACTCAGGACGATTCGCTGACGCAGAAGTTGCGGGGAAGAGGACGCAGGAAGCTGACAGAGTCTGCAGGAGCCAAGTTGCCGCGTTCCGCACGTCCAACTAAATCTGCTAAGAGCATTTCGCATGAGAAAGTAGATCGCACTTCAGAATCTCCTGCTTCATCGCCAGAACGAATGCCTCGAAAATCGCAAGGAAAGCTGAGCAGTCAAGAGGAAGCAGGACCGCTCTTGTCCCAGGGCGTTTCCTCTTTGAGAACTCAGAATGACTCGCAAGCGCGTCGTCCACGAGAATGTACTACGTCTAGCAAACTGACTCCGAAAAACTTAGCTGAAGAGACTTCCAAAGGTCGAAAACAGGATAAGCCGAGACGGACAACATCTTCTGATGGTGTGGATCCCAATTTCTCATTGGAACCAGAGTCCCATGGACAAAAGGCTAAAGTCAAAGAGCATACCGAACTACGAGGGACGAGTGATGCTGCACGGAAGGGTTCTGGAAGTTCAAAGAGCGAATCAAGGAAGAATTCCTTTTGCGGATCAGAGTTTGCCGGAGAGGTCCCAGCATGATGAAGTTTTATTATCCAGAGCGAGCCTCAGGAGAGCACCTGCAGGAAAGGACGAACCGAAGGCGACTCGCACACTTCGTTCTTCAAGTCAATCTAGTGGTGGAGAGGATGTAGCGGAGGCAGTGACCGCTGCAAGGAGTAGACCTCGTAACAAGGCTGGCAACGAAAGTATGAATTTATCCCCTGAATCGAGTCCGTCCTTGCGACGCGTTTCGTCGGAAGACAAGGGAAGGCGTCGGCCAAAGAAAAATGTTGAAGCACCGCACCTGAGCGGAGACGAAGGGGTGGAAGAATCTGCGAAGTCGCGCAAGAAGTCACTTCGTCAAAGAGATCGCTAACCGCACACTCACTTCTCCCGATTCTTCGAATATAATCGAACACATACCTCTCCTATCCATTCTAATTCTAATTTTAGGCTCGCGTCAAGGTAATCATTGTCCCCCTTATTTTGTTGATATATAGAGAGGCTTCTTTTTTCCGGTTATCATCATATTTTTTGAAGCTCTCGTACTGGTGTAATGTGTCATATATGATCTCGTGCTTTAATAATTGGCTAATCTAGTGGACTGGTAAAAATGTATGAGTTTTAGAGGTTCTTATGTTGTCCAACTCATGCTGTCGTAATCATTGCTCCGCTGGAAAATCTTTTTCTTTTCACTAGGCTATTTCTTTCATTGACGATAAACTTTTCCACTGGGTACGAACTGAGCTCATTTTTTCGAAATGGTTTTGTCCTCAAAATACTTTTTTACTCTCCTGTGTCGTCACAACAAAAGTCGCATTCTGATTTGTGAAGTATAGTCCTCATCATTGCAGACCGGTGGGGCGGGTGAGCCGCGCCGCGTGTGACGCGGCTGTGACTACGGCTCATTGACAGCCGCGTCACACGCAGCGCGGCTCACCCGCCCCACCGGTCTGCAATGATGAGGACTGTAACTCCCATGCGCCAATAAAGTGTGTAATGGCAAAACGGATCTTCTTGCAGGGTGGAATGGCGCAAATTATTCGCGCTGAAGATTTGTTATTACGGAATAAAGGAGTGATTGATCCTTTCAATCGGTTAGGATGTAACATCGATCCAGTTATTGTAGTGGTTGAGTTCTGCCAAGTTCAAGGACCTCGTCCACTTGTTACGGTGTGTCTGAAAACAAGTAAGTCTCTCAGTTCAGGAGAAACAAAAAACCAATCGTTTGGCAGAGGTGGATCTAACGCAATCATTTCTTTTCAATTCAACCAATGTGGTATCCAGCATTGTCACTGGATGTAATGAAAAATCGTCATTTTGCATCTCTCTTGAGCATATGCCGGATAGTGCATAAGGCTGCGTTTATACTTTGCGGCAGCGTAGCGTAGCGCTTCCAGCGTACGCCAGCGGCAGTGTCGGGGAAAGGATAGATATCGATCTAGCGTTCCCAGCGTCACCAGCGTACGCTAGCGTGCGCTCGCTACGCAGCGTGCGCTTAGCGTGCCGCTGGCGTGCGCTAGATCGATATCTATCCTTTTCCTCCGACAGCTGCCGCTGCGTACGCGGAAGCGCTGCGCTAACGCTACGCTAGCGTTTGCCATGCAAATTATAAACTCAGCCTAAGCGATCATCGCTACACAGTTGTGAAAAACAGGAATTTTTCGGAACATGTTGCTTCTATGCGTCCTGCTTTGCTTTCATCCTTCTTTCAGACACTCGCGCTGCAGCGGTTAGGTAGGATTGCATCTGTTATACATATACACTCTAGTTCGCTGCGGAGGGCGTCTCATGCAGTATGAGTGTGCCACGGCGCCGAACCGTTCTGCATGTCAGTTGTTGAAGCGAGTTTTGTTGGCAAAGTGGATACACAACGAGTGAGTAGCGAACGATATGATACATTCTTGTCACTTCTCGCTCCAACAACTAGTGGATTTGACACTGCACGAGACCCATCCCGCCTGGCATACCTCATCGTCCGCAGCAAACTAATTTGTTGTTCATTGTATGGGGATTCAATCATTCCATTTCACACCGTCTCCTGGTGATCGCATGCTGCGCAGCCTTGTGCCCCACTAGGAAACAAATCGTCAGGGCTCGTCGTACGCTTAGGAATCTCAACCAGGGGCTCGTTTTTGGTTGTAGAGGGGGGACGGGGAAGGTGTCGCATTTGGCCCCACAAAATTGTTTGCTATCTAATCTTTCCTCTTTTACGTGCGCCTCGGGGGAGGGTCGTACCCCTTTTTTCCGTGTGCGAAAATTTTTTCCGATTGTAATTTTTTCCCTGTCTTTTGCGTTTCACATGTGCTAAACAAACTAGAATTCCAGGCAAAAGTTGGAAAATTCGGGAATTTCAATGAAGTGATAGGAAATAGGGGAAACTTGGGAGGGTGAGGCACGTCCTGTTGGTGGGAGAGGGGGGCGTATTTTGCAGCCTCCCCTCCCACCGACAGGACGTGCCGTAGTTCGACATAAATGGGACTCCTATCCTCCTACTAACGCATACACTAGTTGTGTAAACACACTGTTGTATTGAAGTTTAACTAGATCGCACAAGCGCTATAGAGGCCTACTATCTCGTGGAATACCTCGTCTATTTCCAAGAAGGCATCGGACGCAGAGTCAAGTGATTGAGCAAGAGCAGCAATCTATTCTTTATTCTCCTTCAGAGGAACCGCCAACTTCTTTGGATATCGACAATTTATCGGTATGGTTGATGAGCTGTGAAGCTGCTAGCGGCACACTTTTGGTTATTTATAACCAGCAAACAGGAATTTATGCAATGTCTTATTACACTACTATATACGACATAAGGGCTAGAGCCTTTCAGGTGTGTTTTGTTTTTTTTACTATTATTGTGTTCAAGCAACATAATACGCAGCCTTCGATGGAAAAATCAGAGTTGTCAGGAAGTGAGGCATGTTCGGTGGGCGGGCGAAATGCTACAGGAGGGAGAGGGAGGGGGGGGGGGAAGGTTTGATTAAAGCTTCCCCAGGACGTGCATAAGAGAGGCTATATTGCTAGAAATGCTATTCCACATGAATTTCCTTTCATTTTGGCCTATTACTATATTTCCACTCGACCACTCCTACATCCAGTATATGCATGATGTTGACGTATTTCACGCATAATTAGGGGAGAAGCTCTACTGATGGCGTACAAAATGTAGTTTTCCTTGCATAGCGTGACAAGGTACACAAAAGACCCTAGACAAAGTGTTATAGCGCGTTCATACTTCGCGATCGCGCGACTGGATCGCACAATCGCGAAGTGTCACCGCGCTCTTACTGAGTTGTTTTTATGTTAACAAGGTCTCCGTTACTGCTTCCGCCGTCGCGAAATGGTTGGGCACATTTTCTCGTGGTGCTCAAGAGGCCTCCAGCATCACCTCTGAGTGAAAGGCAACAGGTCACTTGTGCACAGGTTCTTGGAAACTGCTACTTTGGTACTTCGAGATCATAGCCGTTCAGCTATTCAAATTCTATTCAAATTACGTCGCTGTGATTCACTATCTGTTTTTCATAACAGTACCCTGTAGGCCTAATCGGGCGTCAAGCACTCTAGGATGCCAAACACTTTAGTTTTGTGGATTCTTAAGGTATAGTTTTGGGGATACTTTAGGTACGTGATCTGGTATTATTGTCCGACGTAACAAGTGTGAAGGGTAGGCCTCATGAGCAAACCTATTTTTTGAGCCACCTGCTCTGGTCAACACATTTTTACTTGTGCTCTTTATGAAGCTTTACGGCTGATGCGATGAAAATGTGAATGAGGCCTGACCAGCAGTCCGTGATTTCAAGGTCTTCATAAATGTCTTCTCATGTCTCGTCATTTTTTCAGCGTCCGATTTGTGTGGCAGTTCTGAGCTCGGAACGTCCAACCTCGAGCCGGCTATCACATTTCTCAGCCGGAGTGAGGAGATTGGTCTCGCCCTTGATGAAATGTAATCGTCGATATTTTATGAGACAACTAAGTGATATCATCAAAATCTCCGATGCAGTTGGTCAGAATTTACTTACTCATGCAACGCTTCTTTCTGTTTGACTTTCGCTTATGCTAGGTTGTAAGTGCCGAAAGAGACACTTCAGATAGTGTGCGCCTTTAATAGGCGCTTTACATTTGTTGAGCTTTCGTAGAAAGAGGAAGGGACCATTATGTTCATTTTGGGAGCGATAAACACCTGTGTGGTTCACGTTTTCAGACACATCATATCTGGTACCTTTTTTCATGTAAAAGTCACAGTTACAGAATCGGACACCGTACAGACTTACTATACACTAGATGTCGAATTATTGAAGTTACCAACTACTAATCGTAAACTAGCGAATGTCGCTGAACAGGTACGATTTATTGCGTACTATTGCGCACTTTGTAGAGCTTCTGCTTTTATTGTTATGATATTTACCGGTCAGATTCTAGGCTCGAAAGCTCAGGCCAAGGATGCAGGCTATGTATGATATGTTGTCGGAATCACGAACTTGTATGTATCAAACATGTGAAGGTTTTGCTTTCCCAGATTTCAGTGCCTTGTGTTCATCAGTTCCATCTCGTTGATACGCTTGACCCAAGTTATGTACACCTTTTGGATCACATTGATGCATTTCCACGCATCAGGTGTGATCATAGTACAGCCCTGGCACGGGTATCCTCAGCGGCGGGTCGTATTTGGTCGTTAGAGAGAGGGTGTTGTATCTGATCTGAGAATTTTTTTTGATATTTTTCCAGCTTTAACACGACTCCCTCCACTGGAACTCACTGGGCGCTACCCAAATCGTTGATAGGAAATTCAGTGGAGTAGTCGTATTAGGAGGGCAGGCGCATTTACCATTGTATACGCATCGTGAAAAACTTGTTTAGCGACGCCATGCGTTTTTCTCGTTTTAAGAGTGTGTGATGCTCGCCCCTAAGTTGGTGGCGTTTCAAGAACTGGCTATACCATAACTACAACAAACTACCCATCCCTTATCAGTTAGTTGGGATTTAGTACAGTTGTCTTGGTAATCAAATGTGGTAGGAGTTGGGTAAATAGCTTGAAGAAGTATTAGGTTGTCCGGAAAGTTCTCAGCGTTTTGGGTGTTTCACTTTAAACGATCGTAACTTTTTTAATACTCATCGGATTTAATCGAAATAGGCACCATTCGAATCAGCACACTTTTGCCAATGTGACAGCAGTCGAGAAATCCCATCAAAGTAAAAAACTGGGTGGTCGAAAATTCACGAAATCCACTAAGGCTTTTTTGCCTGGTCCTGATTGATGAAGTATTTTCCAGCAAGGGAGTTCTGAAAATGTTAGAAAAGGTGATAGTCGGTTGGCGAAAGGTCTGAAGAATATGGCGGTTGAGGTAGAACTTCAACCCCAATTCGTTCAATTTATGGATAGTGATTTGTGAAACGTGTGGGCGGGCGTTGTCATGCAAAGGAATCGGACCCTTTCTTTTGATAAGTGTTGGCTGCATCTGACAAAATTTTCGGTACATTCGTCGATTTCTTCACAGTAGGGTTCTGCTGTGATGGTTTGGCCTGGTGATAAAAAGTTATAGTGGATCACACCAGCCGATGACCACCAAGCCGTGACCAGAATCTTTTTTCGTGAGGGTTCGGCTTTGAAAATTACCTCGGTGGTTCGTCGAAATCCAACCACTGTCCGGAACGTCTCCTGTTATCATACATGACCCATTTTTCATCACAGGTGACAATTCGGCCCAAAAACAGGTCGTTTCTGCTGCGCAAAAGCAATGCAGAAGGAACCTCGAGACGTGCCGATTCCTGCCGGTCACTCCGATTGTGGGGCACCCAATTGTCGAGTTTTTTCACCTTCCCAATGCGTTCCAGACCATCTGCAACAGTGGATTTGCCAAGGCCTAGCTCTTCTGCTATCTCTCGAACTGTTTGGGATGGGTCAGCCTCCAAAATCCCCTAAAATCCTCGTCAGATATTGCTTTAGGTCGACCGCTATGAGGTTCACCTTCAGGCTGAAATCTCCAGAACGAAATTTGTTGAGCCATTGCCGCACAGTGCTTTCTCTAGCACTATTGGGCCCCCACACCTGGTTAATTTGTTGAGCTGTTTCGATTGCGGATTGCCCCAATTTATAGTCGAAGAAAAAATCGTCCGAAGTGCTCTTTTCACATGCTTGAAAAAATCTTGAAAAAAGGGGGTTTATCAAGCAATGGTGAAACGGCAATTATACCATCAGATAGCGCAAGAAATTCTCTACAGGATGTGCTACTGAGAAGCAAGGCAGAATGAGTTTTTAATCAGCAGTGAATGTACAAAAAATAGGTGCACAAAACGCTGAGAACTTTCCGGACACAACCTAATCAGGTAAATGTGGTAGGATGCTGGGAAAAGTTGGAAGGAAGTAGGTAGGATAATAGAAGGAATTCGCCTTAGTGAAGAAGTCAGTAGTATCTTCTGAAAATTTTCCCCCAGCGGTAGGACTTGCCCTGATTACAGCTCACTAGGAAATGGAAAGCGACGAGGGGAACGAAGATGCATAGACGGGGTATCGTTCTCAAAGGACATGTGTGTTGCGCAGCGCATTTATCGTCTTGGGGGCGCTTGGCGATAAAAAGGGGTAACTTCTGAACCTTGAGCCATGTTCAAGCCTTCAAAGGCGATTATTTGATTTTTTTTTTAGAAAGTCAAACCAGAATTGTTTAAGACTTTCACCTTACAACCTCGCACGCACAGTAGCACGAAAAAGATAGTATTGGAAATTCAGAAACTTTTCCGGCTAAACTCCAAACTGCGTGCCTTAATTTAAAACGTGTATGCGAGGGTATACAGTATTTTTTTCAGACATGGACTGTAGCGGCCACTCAGGTGAAGATCGAGCTGCTGCTGAGGAGATGTTCATGTCATTTTTGCAGACCTCGTCACTTTGTCCAATTTCTGAATTAACCCCATGTGTGGGTTATTTTTTTGTTTGGAGATTGGTGTCTGTAGGATATTATTAGTGTTTGGGCAAAGGTGGTGGCATGAAATGTCGGTTCCTGCTCCCGCACGGGCAACTAAGTTCCATTCTAGGGCTTGCCGCGCAAGTCATTATATAAGCCAAATAGCATACAGAAGTCTCTATGACTGTGTTTAGAAGTCTGGTATGTGCCGAATCCAGTAGATGGCTCAACATAGAATGTTTTGTATTGCAAGCTCATATCCTGGTCGGTTGCAGCGCTAGGATGGGAGTGAAGTGTTTTCAGCAAACTGACTGAGCAACTCATACAGAACGCTGTGAAAAACGAAGACTCGAAGCCGTTCGACGAACGGGGGGGGGGATAAGGGACGCTTTGCACTCCGGTTCACAAGTTTCAGTGTGGTGAGACCTGTGATCTTCTGAGAGACTGGAGCAAGTTCGTCGAGCCAACATGGGAAAACCTTTCAACTCCTGTAAGCTCACGGAATGGCTCATTAGATGGGTCGGCACGTCGACGGGAAGTAGCAAAAGTGCAAAATGTACCCCCACCGCCAAACTGCCCCGAAGGGTCTGAAAAGCTCACTGGAGCTCGAGCAGCACTCAACGAATTTCTTATGCTCCAATTTCCTTCTCATTCGAAACGTTGTATTGAGTTGTGAAAATTTTGTCTACTGTAAACATTTTAAGGTGTACGACTTCTTCCTGGCCAATCTGCATCCTTTTCTTGTGCAGTGTTCGGAAAATCATGTCCGCGAAGGAGTTTCTGTATTGTGCAAACATTCCAATTCTTCGATTCCCCAAGGTGACTTCTCCGATGAAGGCAAGCACATCGAAAAGGTAACAGAGAGTCTAAATTTTTGGATATAGCAGTCGACAGCCACACTTCTAACATGTTTTTAGCAAAGAGCAGACAGACATTGGCAATGAGGAGACAATGCGGACAGTCTCTCATCATCTTGACAATGTAATATCAACGCTTTTGCTTCCTTTTGATCCAGTGATTGAGTGGCAGTTTCAGCTCCTGTTTCCTGTGCTGGCCGGAGAGGACATGGTAGTTTGTGGCTCTGAGCAGAGGAAGAATACTGTCATCGATTTCGTCGACAAAATCAACTTTCTGAAGCCGAAAGCTCATCCGAATCATAAAGTAGTACTATGGACGAAAGATCAGGAAGTGTAAGTGACTTCTCTATTTTTTTTTGTTATAAAGTTAAATAAAATATCTG